CATCAACAAGTGCCTACGCTGGCTTCATACTGAAGATCAGATGATCAGAAAGAATAAGCAAAAGGGAACTGTGGCTGGCTGGCTGGCTGGCTGGCTGGCTGGCTGGCTGGCTGGCTGGCTGGCTGGCTGGCTGGCTGGCTGGCTGGCTGGCTGGCTGGCTGGCTGGCTGGCTGGCTGGCTGTCAACGACCCAAGGAAGCAAGAAGCTATCGCTCAACAAGCATGCAGTTGAAGTTAGTGTAGATGGATTTGGCATACACTGAGAAGGCCGACTGGGGACATCATGCGTCAGGCCATGCCATCGAGTGGGACCCCTATGGGATGCGACGAGTTGGGCGTCCGAGGCAAGGGTGACATGGATGAGATCATGCGAGGAAGAAATGAGAGGTTGTAGGCTGTCGTAGAGCTGGTTTCAGAAGATTTCAGAGAAAAGAGCGCATTGGAGACGTGTTACTGAAGCCCTATGCTCCATCAGGAACCCAAGGGATAAATAATAATAATAATATAATGTCTACTATAGTTTGAGTATAAACTATAAAAAACCCTATTACTTCGCTTGTCGTTTTTCCCTTAAAATCATTTTAAATAAGCTATTTAAAAAGAATGATTATTATTGCTGAATTGTTCGGATTGAAGTTATAAGTAGCTGGTTTACCCAACTGATTTACAACTGAAATATTCTAGGTTCTTAAACTTGAAGAATACTATCAAGCTATTCATTGTGTAATACACTAACCTGTGCATAGTTTCCGAGTTAAATTCAATAACTAATCATATGATATGATTAATCACAAGGTATGAAGGAAGAAGGTTCTCTATTTGCGCATCATCTCCTCTGAGGATCAACAATGATTCTCCAACTAGTATTTTTTTTATCTTATAGTATAAATGTTTCCTTAAAATTTAACCATCTTCCTCGTGTGTTCAACATATATCTCAAATAAGTAATTTCCTCAAACAGATGGGTATTTTCTTTGAATTGGGATAAATACTTGATTTTTCTGAGATTTTCTAGATAGACGAAGTTAATAGTTATAGAGGTGACATCAGTAATTATCGACTAGTTAGAAATAGGCTAATTATTTAATAAAGGCAATATGAACTGGGCGATGAATGTGTCAATTAACAGAGTATCTTCAGTCTAACATTCCTAATCAATAAACTGATAGTTTAATTTATTTCCCTTAAGGGTATGAACTATTCACATATATTTATTCACTAGGGATTTTTAATAAATTATGCATAAAACCCTAATATTACCAACTGTTCATGTGCTGATTTCACTATTCAACTAAAAAAGATGTGACGAGAATGCATGTACTCACTCACTCACTCAGACGAAGGGTTTTAGGCAGGTGAGGTAAGATAGTTGATGCAGTTATGAACCTTCAGTGACTGAGATGGCTGACTAGGATATGTGTTACATACGCCTAACCACCACCTCCCTCGTCATACAATGTTGGCCGAAGTGGGTTCAGACTGAAAAAAGGCTCGAGGCGACCACACTAAAACATGGCTTCAATGTATGAAGTCCGTGGCTGTTGGTTTGAACCATGTAGGGCAATGAAGTCCGTGGGAAAAAAGAGAAACCAGTGATAGTTGGAGACTCTAAGTGTCACCGGCGCAAATGTATCCATACACACATTATCCCCATCTTAACCACTAAATTTAATCTCATCTTTCTACTCGTTTTGACCAGCTTTGTATTTTTTTTACGCCTTCCATTTTATTGCCTTGTTACTTGGATCCAACTTGGACCGTTGCGCAGTAATACCTAGTCCTATGTTGATCTTGATGATGAATTGCTGCATTTCAAAATGTATCCACTAATCAATTGCTTAACAACTGGAGATATTCTACAATACCTAATCCCAAAGTTCCAGAAACATTCACATTAAGAATTCAACATCACTTGGTTACTGCCTTCATCTCTAGATCATAAAACCGTTAGATAGACAAAATAACTTACATACAGATATATCAGAAGTTTTAATGAAATTATAGTTACACGAATGCTTGTAAACGATCGAATACATGCTGAAGAAACAAGTAAAATGCTTTCTTAACTTCTGAGCGTTTTCACTCACTCACCTCACCAACTACACTCACTTACTCACTCAAAAAACACATACACACACAGGGACCCACAGAAACACATATACTCACTGACTCTGCATTTCTGCTGTATGCATGAAAAGACAGTCAGGTCGAGTCGTTCAGATATGACCGATGGACTAATAACTTCTGGAATAACCCTAGGATATAAGGGACTGAGCACTGTTTGAATACTGAAAAAATGTTTGTAAGATTTTACACACCTTCCCTGCATTAAAAAAACTTCATTTCAGTGGTTTCGAGAACACAATAGGCTGAATCATTTCTCCGACTATTGCATTGGGAATTCGATACATTTAAGTAAATAGGCTGCGGTTCGACATCACTCTTTCATTAAGAACCATGATTATCTAAACTTCATTCAAGGGAGCAAATTAAAGTATCAGCTTCTGTTCCTTCTAATTTTCTAAGATCCCTTTGACAGTGTTATTTTTCCGCTAAACTTCTTCCATGTACCCATGTCCTCATCTTTTCCTAAATGTCCTATCAATCACTGAATAAAATCCCTATCATTCATCTAACTTTAGTCTGCTCTCTAGTTTATCTACTTGACATCCGATGTTTATCGTCAGTCATGGATTACACATCATATGTGAGATAAATATGCTGTACAGTCGTACTTATCATCCATTTTATCATTTCGATTCTACGAAATTCTTAGAAAATGTGATTATTTCCGTGAAGTTTGACCCTGCTGGGTTGAAAAGCCTAATAGTTTCAATTATGGCATGGATTCCAGAATTCGCCAAGCGAATTTCAGGGCCACTCAAACAATCCCCCAAATAACCAGTCAGGTTGCAGTATTTTGGGTGGTAAGACAATTTTTTCATAGAATAGAGAAACGTGATTGGCTGTTCCACCACGTTCTTGGGTGGCCCTTAAAGTCATTCAAATTTGGCTCTTGACAATCAGCTGATTTAAAAGGTCACTGAGGAAAAGTATATCCATACACGAGTATCGCGTTGTACATCATCGGTTGGGAGTGATAGTAAAAGCCTTCCGTTTGTACCTGCTATGTCTTTCATAGTACTGTCTTTTTTCTGGGGTTAGGATTCATAAATACTAGGCGTTGAAATTCCCTACTCTTTATCCGCTTTAGCGTAACATATTGTTCCATCCAGCGGTTAACCTTGAATCATACGAGAAACCTTTCGATCTTACATAAATTTTCGCCCCATTTACATAGCACCAGCTTCAAAGATACACTCTTAACCTTATCACCAACATACGTTCAGAGAGAACGATTCGAATTTGTATGATGGTAAACTATGAATTCTGAATTAGGTTTTTATAGGAAAAGTTTGAACATCTAATAGAATAACTCGACACCTTTATAGTGATGCTAGATTGAGAATAACATTATGTGTTCAGCATAGCTTTATTCATAATGGAATCACCCAAGCGTGCTGCCGGTGAACAAAGTTACCACTGGAAACCACGAGGAGTCAGCCAGACTCACAAGATGTGGTCCTTGACACAAATATGATAAACCAATGATGCATACTTCTGAACAACTTGAGCAGTTCAAAATCAGTCGAGCTAATCTGTTATTCGAGTACATAGCTGAAGAGTTCATCCCCCAACAAGTTAACCAGGTGTCCAGTGGTTAGATCATTTTGATATGGATACCAGGGTCAAATCTACAGAGCAGCATGACTGCACTCTAACTAATCAATTTGTTAAACAGTATATTCTGACAGGTTAATTTAGTTTACCAAATTCCATGGAGTAACCGCACTGTCAAGTACACACATGAAAGTAGACAACCAATGTTAACTAGATACACACAGCATAAAAGAATAGTTAAACTTAGAACGACAAAATATGAAAAGAAATCTTGGTGGCTAAATTGTAAAATCATAGATTGCATTCTGTCAGAACACTCTCCAGTCACCACCAATTAATATATCTCATCCAGTCTGACAACAGGAAGTTAATCATGACACAAACAGATCAATAACAACGTTACTGACTGTAACACTCGTTGATATGAGTTCGAATCTCGGATGAGACATCAATTTCCACAAGGTTGTAGATACGCCAGGTTGATGAGTGCCAACAAGTGCAAAACCTAGGTGATATGCGTAGCTTCCTGCCGATTACCTTCAACCAAGTAAAATCTTAAGGTGTATCTATCACTTTACATAGGTAGTCTTAAAAAAACTATTGCATGTTATGAATCTGGCGAACAAACCAACACAGAATCAGTATCCTAACCGAAGTACTCAAATGTTACTTATATATATATATATATATATATATATATATATATATAATTATCACTATTATTTTCCTTTGGGTTCCTAGTGGAACATAGGGATTCAGTAGCACGCCTCCAGTGCACTCTCTTCTCTACACTCTTTTGAACCTCGCTTCACCACTACCCACAAGCTTTCGTTTCTTCCTCACATAATCTCCTCCATGTTACCCTCGTCTCGAACGCCCAACTGATTGTTTCTCCTCTGGATTCCACTCGATGGCCTGGCCTGACGCGTGATGTCCCCAATCGGCCTTCTCAGTGTAAGCTCAATCCATCTCTACTTTCTTCCTCTGCATATTTATTGGGTGATAGGTTCTTTGCGTGTACTCTTCTTCACTTCTTTGTTCAATGTTTTATACGTTATACTCAGTTCTTCTTTTCATTGTGCATCCTTGCAATAGTTCATCTTCTGCTTCACCATCTTCCTCTCCATCCTCTATCAGCTACCATATGTCCATCAAGATCCATTCCTTGTTTTGTTTCCTCTTCCTTCCTAGTACGGTAATGCAGGTTTCTTTCCACATAGCTTTCAAAGAGTTGCAGTGTTCTTCCACGCCCATATATATATATATATATATATAAATATGTTTTATTTTTCAAAAGGTTTATTGACAAATTTCACTTACTTTGTAAACAGTCTGCATTGAGTAAACGTTTACATTTATCATGACATTTTACACCGCATTCTGTACATCGTAAACCTTGTCTAGCTACACCCCATAGAAGACCTTCACATTCATAACAATAAGTTGGACTAGTTGCGCTAAACAGTTGAAAATTATGCGGTGTATTACTTGATATTGGATAGGCTAAGGCTTGTAATGCTTTTCTATAGACATGCATTTTCTTAGATTATAATTTAGAAAAGGAAAGAGAAAAAGATAAGCATATATAGATAATATTATTATTTATAAGAAGGAAATAATATATTTCATAAGCAATTTCTATTCATAATAATCATGATGACATTATGAGGAATCGAACAAGTGATCTTTCATTTGCCGTCTTGAAACCCAACTTCTGATTCAATACTAAATTCAATTCAATAAACAAGAATTTCACCAGGTAACTTTAAACGCTCTTGGTTCAAATCCTCTCAGTATTCAGCATCAATGATAATGATGATCACTAATGAATGCAGTTAAACTTCGGATTCGAAAGACAGACTGAATCTTATCTAAGAATCAAATATGAGTGGTTGGCTTAAAACAAGTTAGCACTAGACAAAACTGATGACTGTTAGTTTGCATTTTGTAAGACAGAACAAACAAATTGGCTTTGATCTTCATGTTATATGGCTTAAATTCGATTATATATTCACTTTTAAACTTCCCTAGACATTTTTTTTCACCTTTATTAAACTTTATTTATTTCTTCTGTATACAAACAAATCCGTTTGATCTGTTTAAATACAATTTCTGCTTATGGTGTTAACAAATATGAGAATTGGAACTGTATTATTCATCTATTATTCTGATAGTGTTTTCATCATAATGTGGATATACCTGTCACGTATTGGATATTGGTTGTACTGCTGAAATCTAAGCCTATTGTCGATCACTCTGAATCATGTACTAGTATATTCTTGGCTATTGAATTATCATAGACAACTGCTATCTTGTAATTTCCCACGGTCTCGAATCATTACATCGGGACTGACCAACTCTATATTGGATCAGTAAACTTTTTGATTACATAATTCAGTCCTGTTTTTCGTTAAATTCACCTATTTCATTACATTGCAGAGCTGATGGATTAATTACTCTACACTATTGCTCAGCACCGATAGTGTACACGGAGCAAGACTGCATATTTACGTCATGGGACGGGCCAGTTATGCCCCTGCTGCTCACATCTTGGAAACTGACAGCTAAACAACACGATCTCACCTCAACCTGAACAGGCAGGACTTTTACTTTTACCAAGTCTTTGCGTTTTGTAACACACTTAATGACTGGAGAACCTGTTTAACTCCTTGGTCCGTGTTTGAAGACGGGTTAAGTGAATCAGTTATCACTACACCACAGACTATCCGCCCAAATTAAACACACACCCAACCGCCAACGAAACAAGACAAGCCGTCAACTGACCATTCGAAGCGAACAACAGGCCAACCAGACTCAAACCTCGCCCGTAGGACAGAGCACGCATCCATAGCCACCAACTCCGATGCACCGCACACATCCTCCACAGCTGACCAACAACACTCATTGCCCAGTGAGTGGATAAGTGAGTCACCTGCCAACCCAAACAAACCCAACACTAATCAGACCTGATCAGTTTGACCGCAGCAGACAGATAACAGTGCCAGTGGTGGTGAACACCCTGAGAAAGTGCTCTGACTAGCTGACCAACACACACACACACACACACACACACACACAACACTGCACGCACCACGTGATAAGCGCATCATACATACCCAACAGCAACGCAGATAGCCGCTGATAGACGGATAACGAAAAGCGGTCAGTATGGTCAGGCGTAAATCATACTCATCAGCTGAATTCCCAGGCTTGCAGTTCAACTCCACCTGATTACCTCTGAGTAGTTTCACGAACTGTTTGCTCTCCCTTCAAAGTACTTTTTAACCATTCTTCACGGGGCTTGTTTGCTATCGAACTCGTGTCAGCTTTTAGCCTTATATGGAGTTAAACACCCACTTTGGGCTGCCATTTCAAACAACCAGATTGCAAGGTTAACACTGTAAACACCCGACAGCCATTTCACTTGTTTGGCGTTGTTTAAGTCACCATGATCTCCTGCTGGCAAAATCTACAGATCAATCTGAGTGCTTTCCAACTACTCAAGACTTCCTCTAGCAGTATTCTTCGCTAATCCATGACACTTCTGTGCCTGAGATCACACCTTAAGATCTTGGTTGCACACGGTGCCTTCCAAAAGAAACCTTGTTGACTGGCACCACAATTGGCTGACAGTCGAAAAAGGCTACTCAGCTATGAAAAATGTCAGCGTCGATCGTACAATTAGTAAATCACACTTACAAACTGTTCATTTTAAACAGGACTTTCCGTCGATTAAGTCTAGTTGAACAACATTTGCTTCAGTCAGAAAGGAGCACGGCTGTGATGTTGCACTTATGCGCTGAATCGGCATGTTATGTCGTTGATTCAAAGAGTTCACCCTGCACTTAAGATTTAGCACCGTACGACAACGGGAACTCTCTACATTAGAGGATTTTATTGAGACTGACAGTTGGTGGTGATGAATGGTCTCTCCAGTTAATTATGAAAGTTCATCAGGTTTTCTTTGATTACACTCATCAGCATACCATAACCAAAATGGATACTATTGATGTAAAAGTAAACGTAATAGCTTACAATGAATGATAAAAGTAGAAATGCTTCTTAGACCTACCAATTCTTGATCTGTTAATGTCCAACTGGCTAGACTAGACGACAATGAAGTTAAGGTACGTTTCTGAGCCATTGTCTGAAAATATTTAACGGAAAAAATGATTTAAGAAGAAAGTACAAAAGATGAGCAAAGAGAAACACAATAAATTCATAAGGTTTCATTCATTAAAGATGGATATTAGTTGGGAAACCATTAAACGTCTGGGAGCACTAGAGGGCTGTTTCGTCATAGAATGGGACACCTCAGACGTATACTCTTATGACCTCGGTTCGTCAAGGATCTAACTGGGAACCTTCATGTTTCATGGTAAACGTGTTAATCAGTCGGAACTGTGAACCAGTGGCTCAATGCTCATAACGTTTACCCTGAGTTCAACCCGTGTTGGAGTATATTGACAGGTGTGAACTGCCAAGGATACTCAACTGATGTCAGTTCATGGTGATGATTGTCACGCTGAAAATGAAATGCATACAAACCTCCTACAGATATTTTCGTCTTCCATATTGTTTGAATACAAATTCTTAATAATTGACTACAAACTGGTGTATATATTGAGAAATAGAGAGACAATAAATGATAAGACGGTTGTACGCTGTGTAAAGTTCAACCTTTGATAAACTGAAAAGACACATTTCAACATAAACCATGAGATGTACATAAAAAACTGTTCATAAGATACAACAGTTCTTCAAACGGGTTATACTCAGTTTCCTTGAAAGTCTCAATTCATAGATAAACAACTTTCCTTAACCCCCTTTAATTTATTTATCGATTTCAAATTGGTATTCAAGATTGATTGATATCAGTTAGAGAAACATTGTAAACGTAAGACCACTGGACAGCAGTCTTTTTCGTCATACTGTGAGACTCCTCAGTAGTGCGCACCCAAGACAACGCACCGCCCCACCAGAGATCGAACATGGAACATTCGGGTTCCATGGCTGGCACGTTAACATTAAGCTACTGAGTTGGAATCCAGTAGTCTGCATCTCCAACCTCTGTTAGTTTACCAAGCAGTGTGACCATCACCCAATGTCATGTTAGAGTATTTGTCCTCACGTTCACCAGATTTGCCCGATCATCTACGACTCCCGATTGCAACTTCAGGAATCACCTCTGGAGGATAATCACCAATGAGCACTAGATTAATTGATTTCGGGGGCTCGTGGAGATTTTTTTATTGATTTCAGGTTGGTATTCATCGTGGACTGATAATAAATAGTTGGAGGAACACTAGAAACCTGAGACGAAACAAACGTCCAGTACTTTCAGGTTACTAGTGTTCCTCCAACCATTGTCAGTCAGTCCATGATGAATACCAACTAACTGTCTATATCCAGGAGTTGATCTACTTTGATGGTAAAGTGTGATATGCCTCCCAACAGGATTCTAATCTAGAACTAATCTCTTCAAACTCCCAAGAGTTATTCACGAGATTAAGGAGTTAAGACAATGATGAGTATTGTCTGTAATTCCTTGTCGTTTATTTCGATTGATGCTACAAAGTTACCTGCAGTTTCAGTTTGATAGTGACATAACATAAAAAAGAGCACCAATCGTACAAAAAGTGGCTACCACAACTTATTAGCCTGGTAGATGAATCTCTGGCAATTGAGGTGATTGTTCCCGGGTTGGAGACTTTTATGAGAAATTCACTCATTGCGATGTAGGTAAATTCAACTGAAGAGTCATAAATCGGATGAAATAAACATTCTAGATTTCACTGCTAGTTATTATCTTTCATTAATATCAAAATGAAACTATAGACAATATTAAGACATCCCTTTAGGAGTCAATAAACTAATAGTGGCTAAACAACCACGAGAGATTTTGAGCAATGACATTTGACCTACTTTATCTCTCTATCTGAAGTATACAAATCACATTCTTGTTATTGTTGATTCACAAATTACTCTTATTTATTTATTTATATTACTATTTATTTTTGCCTTGGGTTCCTAGTAGAACATAAGGCTTCAGTAGCACGTCGCCATATCAATCTCTTCTCTGTAGTCTTTTCAAACTGGCTCCATGACTGTCTATAACCACTCATTTCTTCCTGACACCATCTCCTCCATGTCACCCAAACCTCGGACGTCCAGCTCGTCGGTTCCCCTATGGATTCCACTCGACGACCTGGCCTGACTCGTAATGTCCCCAAACCATCTTCTCAGTGTATGCCCAATCCATATCCACTATCTTCCTCTGCATATTTGTTGGGCGATAGCTTCCTGCTTCGTTGGTTCGTCGCCACACTGAGTTCCTTGTTGCTTATTCTTATTATTCTGGCCATCTCATCTGATCTTCAGTATCGAGCCACCATAGCTGGCAGATGTTGATAAATGTCTGTGGTTTGCTGAAAATGCTTTTCGTGATACGCCAACTTTCTCAACCATCACATGGAAGCAATAACTTGACTGACATAGTGTTGAAAATCCGGATCTTGTTCTTTGTGCTGAGTGGAGTGGAGTGGAGTGGAGTGGAGTGGAGTGGAGTGGAGTGGAGTGGAGTGGAGTGGATCTCCACACTGATTTCAAATTAATGAAAGCCTGTCTTGCTTTTGTGATCCTTGACTTGACATCCTTGTCTGTGCCGCCTGTAGGTGAAACGATGCTGTTTAGATAGGTGGGTGGGTGAAAGAGACTACTTCGTTTAGGTTTCTCCCGTTGATAGTGATTGGTTCTTGTTGTTGTTGTTGTTGTTGTTGGCTGGGTATCTTCATCACCTCTAACTGATTGATATTCCATAAATATATACTAGGTGATAATTGAAGATGAAGTGAAAACTCTATTCCATGGAAGGATTCGAACTAGCCACCCACAGGTAACATTATCCAACTGTAATACTGGGTGACACTGGTTCAAATCTCAGGTAGGACATCAATTCCTTTTAGGCTACAGATATTCCCTGCTGATGAGAGTTAAATGACAGCATAAAATCTAAGTCAAACCAGGATTTCGTGGTCATTTATTTCAGCTAGACGCTTTGATATTTCTTATTAGCATCATTCACTTCATAATATTGGAGGCTAGTTAGCATTTTGTCGTTCGATTCATTATTGGCCTAGAAAACGTTTTCTTTTCCCTATTTTCTGGTTTAAGTTTTCAAACGAAGAAAGGAAGGTAAAAATAATCTGGAGGTTTTGTGGAGGTTAATTGATTGATTTAAGGTTGGAATTCATCGTGGACAGACAGATATGCCAGTTGGGGGTAGATTTGAAACTTGAGAGCAGTGGATATCCGGCTGTTTTGTGTCAATACTGGATTCGTCAGCAGTGTGAACCAGTGATCTCGCTCCAGTGCACAAGGGGTTGAAGTGGGTAACTTTAGGTTCTGTGGACAACAGCACATTACCATTGAACGACTGTGTCAAAATACAGTGGTTTATATTTCTTACTTCCATCAGTTCACGATGTAGACATGCAATGTTGTCATTGAGTAACTATCCTGATGTTCGATTTGGTGATAAGCTTCGAGAGGGTATTCACGAAGGTAGAACGAGAAGTCATACCCTATGGAGTCAACGAGGCTGAACATGAGGACATTTATTCAACGACGACATTGGATGTAGGTCACCATGTATTGTGAACTGACAGAAGTAGGAAAGTTGGACCTTTGGGTTCTGACCCAGTAATACAATGGTAACGTGCTGACCATGGAACCTGGAGGTGCTGTGTTTAATCCGTGGTGGGGTGGATTGGGGTCTTGAATGTGCACTGCTGAGGAGTCCCACAGTATGACGAAACAGCTAGCTATGCAGTCCCCCCAGGTTTTCGATTTTCCTCCAACTAGCATGTTAGTTCATGATGAATTCCAATTTTAATGGTAGACTAATTTATCAATACACATAATAATACTGTAGAAAATCTCAGTTTTTTGATGTTATCTATGCGACAACTTTGAATACCGTAACAAATGAAAATCTAAATCATGTAGCTACAAAAGGGAAAGACATTAATTTTCCTTTGGTGAAAATACACACCCATAAATAAAGATACAGCTAAGGTGTGTAGACGCACACCCTCCATTTCTGAGATTTTAGAGTATACTTGTTTTGTATTAATGATGCAGCGAAATCCATGGAGTGCGTTTTGTCAGATTTGGGACTCGTCAGCTAGACGTACCTGCCTCGAAGTGAGCATTGTTGTTCCAAGTAGAACCTGAACTTGAGACCTATAGCTTGAAATGCCAGAACGTTATCCACTAGGCCGCTGAGTTACTATAGCTACTTCTTAAGTGATGGATGTAGTTTTAATCTTGTTACTTGTATTATCCTGTCCGTCGTTGACATGAGCTTCTGTATGCATGCCTCCATATTGCCTGTATTTTGAATTTCGATTTCATTGCTGAATGGCGGAATCTTCCTTAAAGTGCATTTCGTCCCATTTAGGACTCGTCAACTGCACTTAATTGTTATTTTTGTTTTCGTCTTCGAGGTAAATAGTGAAATGCTTCATGCTCATTAAGTAGACACTCCTGTCCTCTATAGTTGCTATTGGCTGAGGTGATCCAGCTGAATGGCGGAAAATAAGTTGGAACCACTGTAAAGCTTAGTTTGTCTCTGTTTTCGTTTACTACTATACAGAAAAATCTTACAATATTCTCTTAAACTAATTAGTCCTATACAAATTGAAATTCTTAAGGAGGTAACATGTTTAAAGAGACATTATTTCACAAACAGGGCAGATCGATTCCGGGAACTTGTAATGCTGGAAAATAAAAATTATATAAACCACAAGCCCAATGGAGAAACAAAGACGATGGAAAGCTAAATTGTCTAGACTAGCCACTTCCTGTTGTGCTCACCAGTTCGACTACTCCTGTAGAGCCAGTTACATAGATCGTTGGTTTAGGAATTTAATTTTCCGTGCTCGCAAATACACTCACAAGAAGTCAAGTAAACATTTGGCAAAGACCATTACCAAAATCTACTCAGCTCAGGATACTTCAGACTGCAGAAGTAATAGCAATCGGGATCAAGCAACCGGAATTATGAGTTCAGTAAAACCAAGTATGGCTAGATTCAGTAGGCATACATTCGTTGACATCCTACCTCAGATAACCTAACTGCGCACTGTCAGTATCACTTCTCTCCTATAATCTGAAATGATGCTAACAAATACTCTTCTTGTATTTTATACTTCTTTGCTAATTTCATCTACGCCGCACAAACACCTCCCGATTGTTTTATTAAGAGACCACCTCATAGTGTTAAAGAAGTCGTGAAATCAGTTAGATAATAATAATTATTATTATTTTTCCCTTCGGTTCCTAGTAGAACAAAAAGGCTTCAGTAGCACGTCACCATTTCACTCTTTTCTCCACGATCTTTTCAGCCTGGCTTTATCACTTTCCATAACCTTTCATTTCTTCCTCACACCATCTCCTCCATGTTACCGTCGGATGCCCAACTCATCTTTTCCTCTTCGGATTACACTCGACGGCCTGGCCTGACGCGTGATGTCTCTGATTGCTTTCCTAAGTGTATGCCCAATCCATCTCCACTATCTCCACCTACATATTTCTTCAGCGATAGCTTCTTGCTTCGTTGGTTCGTTGACAGACTGAGTTCCCAATTGCTTATTCCTATAATTCTGGCCATCTGATCTTCAGTGTTGAGTGAGCGTAGGTGGCAGGTGTTTACGAATGTCTGTAGTTTGTTGGAAATGCTTTTCGTGACACGCCAAGTCTCTCAACCATCACATAGAACCACTGACTTGGCTGACATTAGTGTTGAAAATCAGGATCTTGTTGACGCTTTATGCTGAGTGGAGTGCAGTAGATCTCCACAATGATTTCAGGTTAATCCACGAAGGCCTGTCTTGCTGTCTTTCCGATCCTAACACTGACCTCCTCATTCGTGTCACCTGTAGTTGAAACGATGCTACCTAGGTAGGTGAGAGAGACACCTCCCCTCAGGTTTCTCCCGTTGATGGTGACTAGTGCTTGTCATCGTTGTTGTTGTTCTTGTTGTTGTTGGTTGGTTGGGCATCTTCATCACCACTGTCTTCTCTACCTTCATCTGAACGAAGTCTCGTCTTCCCTGCTCCGCTCTGCTCTGCTCTGACTCTTCTCTTCTGCCAACTTGGCAATTTTTCGCCTGTAAATCTTCAAACCTGTGCGACACAAGTCGTGAAATCGGTTAGACAATCAGCTACCTTTGGATTGAATCCTAGAAACAATTAATTGTATCATCAATGTTCACACAAAACATTTCTGAATCGACTTCCCCAACTGCACACTACTATGATAAGTGAATTCTTAACATTATCGATGCCTAATCCTTCAACATGCATACACATAACTATAGGATATGAAGAAGAACGTTATCATTCAAATATCCAGCTGGTATGCTCCACATAGAACTCAGGTGTGTGTGTGTGTATGTGTGTGGATGATATGAGAAGTGGAAGTGAAAAAAGCCTGAAATCATGGGTGTGTATTTGTCTGTATGTAAAAGGTGTGTAAAGAATATACCGAAGCATCGCATCATTAGGTGGTTCACTGATAGGCGTTACCTACAGTGTAATATATCCATTTAACTTGACCTATTTTCAAATATCCTAACTGTCTGTATGTACTCGTGATTACGGCCTTTGTAATCAAGCCGCATAGATTGAGAAATTAGTCAACAAATGATTCGAGTGACTGAACATTTTCATTCTTCGAAGAGGACATGGTTATAAACTAGTTTGCTATCAAAGCTGTTGATTGACAATGTAAAATGTTTTCCAACACAATCGATCGACAAAATACACAATCGAGGATCTCTTCTTTTCTTTTCTTTTTGTTAATATGTAACCAAATAAATAAGCACTACTAAACAAACTGCCTTCTCATTATATCAGACTGGGAGTGAACTACTTTTATACGTTGAAATTTGCCTGTGTGATGTTAGCAGAGATAACCAATTGCTGATATTCATCAGGCTGATGATGTTAATCACTTTCGTTGGGATGAAATAAAACTAACGTCTTGTATATTAATGATGGATAGTGGGTAGTAATGAGATGCAGGATACGCCATTCGTCCTATTCGGAATTCATCAGGTGTTGGTACCTACCTGCTAGTGAGAGATATTTCAGTCCTAAAAACGTTGAATTTAAAACGTTTTGATAAATGTTTCAAGGCGGTTATCCTCGAACATGATTACTGATCTTTTGATTCCAGTTAATCTTTTTGATAGGACATACAGTTTTGGTGTTATCTAGTGTAATTCGCTGTGGTAAGATGATAACCTACACCCAACTTTCGTGTATTTTGTCATTCATGTCAACAAGGACTACTTACAACAAATCTTTACCATTCATTGCTATGGTCAAAAGCTTCACCACAAGGCTACTGAGACCATGAGTGACCCCCACCTCTGTGTAGGACTTGATAAAGTACGCAAATCAGTCGCGTGCTGCTGATGTTTCCTATGTCGAAACAAAACAACACTGTTTAGTCCTTTCAAGTTTCCAATGACGTTTCAACTGATATTATTCCATGATGATGCATATCAACTTGAAGTCAGTTAATAAATCCCTACAAGCCTCGAGACTGAAATAGTTAAAACCGACTCTCTTCAGGTGGATACATCCTTTCAACTAATCACAGAATTGGGTCAACTACTGTTCACATATTATGCACATGATACACAATTCCATTCCATCAATCGCTCTCTTCTTCAGCACTTTGTTTGACTCTATCAACAGAATCAATAGATAATAAACTCTTTAAAGTACAGTCAGCAATGAAACAACCAATAGGTCATTATTTATTATCATTATTATTATTGTTATTATTATTATTATTATTTTCCCCTTGGGTTCCTAGTGAAAAATAAGGCTTCAGTAGCACGTCTCCACTCCAGTCTCTTCTCTCCAGTCTTTTCAACCTAACTCCACGACTGCCCACAAACTTTCATTTCTTTCTCACATAATCTTCTTCAAGTCACCCTCACCTCGGACGCCTAACTAGTCGTTTCCCCTTTGGATTCAACTCGACGGCTTGGCCTGATGCGTGATGTCACCAAACCGTCTTCTCAGTGTATGCCCAATCCAATCTATCTCCACTTTCTTCTTCTGCATAACTGTTGGGCGATGGGTTCTTGGTTGGTTCGTTGTCAGAGTTCCTTATTGTTTATTTATAGAGTATATAAAACATTTTAAGAAGAAAATTTTATTTCATTTCAACTTACACGTAACACCTGTAATCATATGAATAAAGACACATAAGAAAAGAGAAGAATTAGTATGGTGATGAAAAATAACAGAAAGGTTATCCAATGTTTACTCAATAAAATCTTACATATTACTCATACTGAAGTGTACAAGACGGGCTTTATTCTTCTTAATGGTCATACTATTCATACATTGTACAGTTTACTCCTTACAGACAGATAAAGAGTTTGATATAGTGAACTCAAAATTGTCATCATTTGACTATTTGAGATAGCAACTGTAGTTTAGCAAACTAGTATTGATGCTATTTTGTAATGATTGAAGATAAAATGTGAATTTAGACCGCAGCCGGGTTCGAACCAGCGACTAGCTCAATGCCCTACCAGCTGATATGACGGCTGACCAGATTTCTAATCCAGTTCAATCAAAAAGGAGTGAAATAAAAGACTGGTCAACAGTCGGACCTCGTAGTTCAGTCGTTATAGGGAATCGAGCCTGAAACCCGGTTGTAGCCGGTTCGAATCGGGCTGCGGTTTAAATTTTCATTTCATAAGTGATATGTAGAGGATAGCCTTCTTTTTCATCTCCAATAGTATGAATCATCTAAAAGATGGCCTGTTAGCCTTAAATCAAATTCCCGTTAGAGAAAGAAGTTGATTCGAAGATAGGCTTTGCAGACACATAACTAAAAAGCGGAGACGAGACGAGACCGATCCACAGAAAACCCACTTGGAATGGATAACTTATGAACGTTCATAGCTGGATGACTCTATGCACCAAATGAAATCTAACTGAGTCTGTGTGCCATCAAATACTTTCATTTTGACTGAACATCAGTATCCTAAGCATTTCTTTACTGAAACAATGAGACTGAAAACAGATAATCATTCTATTTCCACGCCTTCTAAAAAGCTTCTTTCCATTAGCTTACAATTCAATAAAGACTAGTTCTATATAAAGGAGAAAGCAGAGCACCCCGAAACTCTATTTTACAATATTTGATCGATTATAACCATCCAATAAATGCAAAAAACAACTCTACACTGTCATCTATAGATACTGTGTAAGCCTCATGAAAGATGTACGCCTGAAACTTCTTCAAAATTGTGAAAGTTATAGTAAGCATTGATTCTGCATTCAGAAAGGAATTTCTCCAGTCACTTAACTTGCAACAGACATGACCAATAAGAATATTTTATCCTCAAAATCGTTTTTATTTCCATCTTGGTGACTACCAGCCGAATCCAGGACTCATGTTTCGTCTTATTTCGAGCTGACTCTTCAGCTAGATATGCTTCCATCCCAGTGAGTAGTCTTGTTCTCACTGAGGAGACATCAAGCGAGAAGCCATCATTTTAAACACCAAAGCATTATCCATTAGGGCATCCCTTCTCACAAATCACACTCCTTCACCCCCAATAATTCTAATTTCTCAATACATTCACCAGTCACTTTGATCACAGTGTATCATTCAGTCTTGATAAAACTTCTTCTCATTACCATTGTGTAATTCTTTTTCCAATCTCCTGATTTATAATCAAAACTGAACTCTGTTCAAAAATAGTTTATGGAACATCCTTTCTCTGTCACCATATGAAAAGAATATTTATATATTCGATTGTACAGTTTGAGAATGATATCGCTGAAAAGTAGTAGCTCTTCACTGAATACTTTTCATTCCAATTTCATTGTACAAACTAATAAAAGGTGTAAAAACTGATTGAAAGAGGATTTTTCGCATTCTGATGTTTACACTTTATTCGTTTGAGACACATACAGAGGCACAAACCATTTTGTAGGAGTCCCTGAGATGATAGAAATCAGTGGTTCAAGATTCTTGGTGACATGGCCGAAAACCAGTCGCAATGATACACATTTATTCACTCTTTAATTTCTTCTGAAACTCGACTGGTTGTATCGCCTCCCATAAATCTTTGTCTGCTTTGATATCAGTATTTCCTATTCACCAGTTGTTTTTATTTGCTACTATGAAATGAGGCAACTAAAAGCAGTGCACTTCTGTGTGGGGACCTATGTTGATTTCTTCCTTGATTAGTTGATGACGATATCTTAGATATTTTCAGACCTTGAGTTCTATCTACCAAACACTTTTAACTGGCTTTCTAAGCTTGGATGATAACAATTGGCAAGTAGTCACAGACGGAGACAGGCAGATAAAGTCAACGTAGTACATCGTATACAAGTAGGTCACCTCAAGTTGCCACACTTCACAGTGACATTCAAAGAACAAAGAGATAGCTGAAGAGTGATATAAAATTACATAAAGTTGTATGAGAGAAGTGAACAATTTGAAGATAAAGATCAGTGGAAATATTGTGACGAATTTTCAACCAGCTCACTAGGAGTCTCCAACCACTAATTTTTTTTCTTCTGCGGGCCCCATTCAAGTAGTCTGCGTCTTCTCACACGACTCAGACCAACAGTCAAGAATTTCATACATTGGCCTCTCCGAGCCCTTTTACAATCTAATCTAGCTTCTTGATATGCGCTGTATATGTCCAAGCCATCTCATTCAAATAAGACTCACAAATCTCATCGACCGATCCGCCTGTTTTGCCTAGTATCCTTCACCTAACTTCAACATTGCTCATACGGTGATTCCACAAAATGTGAGCAATGCTACGAACACATCTCTGATTAAATAAGCTCTAATTACTTCATGTCTTTCACTTTTAAGAATGGTATAACCGGACAGAACAGACTGCCTTAGAAATGGTTACTTATCCTGTAATAGGCAAAATTTGAAATGGGTCTTCTGTATCCGAACTAAGACTTTGTCAGTAACCAGTCCTTTTAGACTGATGCAACCCCCTCACAGATATCTGTGCTATTTGAAATCGCAACATTCAGTGCAGCCACTGGAGACTGATATCATGGTATTCAGGCACCACGTACAAGCATCAATCGTTTAGCACAGATAAAAAAGGGAAATATTCCGCTTTATTTCATTTTCGTCTGAATAACCAAGCTGAACAATATTCAGAAATACATTTTTTGAACTTCACGCTGTCTACAATCATTACAAGTTCTTTCACAGTAACAAGCAAACTGTTATCTACACATTTACACAAGCGAAAGTAGAATTTACTTTCCTTAACAATTGATAGATAACTGCAGAGAATAGACTTCTCAGACTGGCCGCATAAAATATCTTCCTGAAAGTTTTTAGCGGTCGATTTTCGGGGATTTTAGACTAGGAATGATGTTACGACGACTTTGTTGGTTGTCAGTAGTCACATAGTGAAAGGCTGGAGAAGATATAAGAGGCTGAATATTAGAAACAGGAGTTTTTAATGTGAAGGAGAAGACATGGTTGAGGAGGATGGGTTATGATTGAATGGATTTCGCATACTTCTGAAAGCGTACCGGTAGATATCCTTTCCCGGCTGCGCAAACTGTGGAAGGCTATTTCTTCTTATCGTCCCTGAAACAGAAAAAACTATTAGTGTGACCGGAGAGTCTATAGAACATGTGATTTAAAACTGTCACATAGAGCTTCTTGAGAATTGTTGATATGAGAAGTCATTGTTATAACGCCGGACTGAGAAAACCCATACCACCAGCACTGGAAGACCACGGGACAGGGGACCTCTTCTAATCTCTTTTTCCCGTAGAAAACGCAGCATAAGCTTTCTACTGTTAATCATCCAAGGGAAATACTTTACTGCCGTCAAATCCCATCCAGTCAGCAGTACGACTTAGCACGAAGACCCCCGTTATATCATACTAATTTACACTTCAACGGTGACTGGTTTCCGCCTTATCATTGTCTGACAGACCTTTACGGGATGGCAGGATCATGAAAAAACAAACGTTCCACCAGCATAACTCGTAAGATTATTGTGATATGCAAGGTAGACCACCGTATCAAGGTAGCAGCTATCAGTTGGGAAGAGAATTACAGATGTAGTGTCACCTTTGAATTTCAAATGTTTATAAATGGCTTTCTTTTGGTTGCCTTATTATGAACTCATCAGTTCGTTTGTGACTGGGGACCAAAGTACATAGGTCGTATACAGTGATAAGCCGGTAAACGTATTTGGGAATATTGTTTGACTTGGTTATCTATAAGAGAGGAGAGGAACATCAGCAGTTCTAATATATCACTTTTACTAGCTGAGATATCCATGGTTTGTCTGTTTTGAATTCAGCCGCCGTTCAAATGTTCATTTCACCTTCAGTTATCACCCAGTGTGAATACTAGTCTACCGAACGATGACTGTTATCTCACATAATCAAGGTGATAATCAATATGATGCTCCCTCTCACTGATTCAGTTAGATTTGGATAGGAATGAAAAGTTCTGACTGTTGGCAGTCAGTGTAAGTACCTATGATCAAGCGGTAGTAATGCGTAACGAATTCATATGGAAATCATCGGACAAAACCCTTATTGATTGAAGTGAAATAAAAATGTGATCAATAGTCGGGCCTTTTGGCTTTGAAATGTGTAAAGCATTGTATCGAAAACTCTATGGTTGCTGGTTTGAATCTGGCTTCAGTCCAAATTTTCACCTTCACCTTCAATCATCACCTAGTAGTATCAGTTCTAACGTATGATAGTTATCTGTACAAGAAAAATTTAAAACAGTAGATTTAACCAGATCCCTACATTGAGATAATGAATGAGAAGTCATGAATCAATCATTCATCACATATGTTACTGATTCGAATTCTATCAAAATTTTAATCTGTATTGTCTAAGAAAATTTTATCCATCCCATCCTCATTCCTCATGAGTTTATAAGAGAATTAATGTAGACAAAAAAGCATTCAGTATTCCTTGTTCTAGTCAAACAAATTCAACAAAAGAGATCTATTTGCTGTTTCAAACAACCAGATACACGTAAACATACACGATTCCTACCAGCTCGCCATGCACACATAAATCGAGGGGAACAGCTACAGTTGGAAAACAAAATTCTATTAGTCTATATACATACATCTAACCTTATTGTCTAAACATTATAATTACCATTCTCCTTTATTTTTACAGACTTAACTAAAGAAATGAACTTTATCTGTAGACAATAAAATCTGGATATTCATTGCTTTTGTTTCACTGTAATTTATTTGCTTTAATTAAAAGTTTTCTCATAACAATAGGCATCATTTTATCATTTTGACTATCTGAGATAGTAGCAATAGTTTGATAGACTAGTATTATTGACACTAGTTGATGATTGAAAATGAAGTGAGAATATGGACCGCGGTCAGTTTCAAACCAGTGACCACTGGTTTTCCAGTTCGATACTCTACTAACTCACCTACGAGGTCTAACTGTTCATCACATTTCTGTTTCATTTCAATCAACAAGGTTTTTGTCTGACGGTTTCTATGTGAATTCGTCGCGTGTTACTACCGCCTGATCATACTTACTCACACTGGCTGCCAGTAGTTAGGACTTCTCATCCCAATCCAAATGTAATTCAAATATAATGAGAGGTGAAGCATCATATTGATTGTCACCTTGACTATATGAGATAGCAGTCATAGTTTGGCTTCATAGTGAAATAAAAATCTAGTCAACAGTTGAACTTCGTAACTCAGTAGGTGCAAAGCATCGAACCAGAAACCTGAGGTCCCTGGTTCGAACCCACCGTCGTCCAAATTTCCAATCATCACCCAGTATAAATAGCCACTACGTCGAGTAATATGATTACTATTACTACCATAGCTTGAGTTTTATGTGGATTTTTCTTCAAGGTAGTACTCATCACCACACAATGACATCAGTTGGAGAAGTACTAAACACCTTTTTCTTCCTGGTATGGGACTCCTCAGCAGACAAAACTTACGATCAGGGATCCAATTTGAGACTTCATGGTTCCATGGTGAAACAGCTAATGGATCAGTCACTGGATCGGAGTTGAATATTTCATTGTTTCCTACCTCCACGGTAAAGTGAAACAGTGCAACTACCCAAGTTCTTCCGTTGACATCCAACCCACTTCGAACTGGTTGACCGCCTAGGAGTAGTTGCACAACAGTCCTGCAGCATGATGTTTTATTGGACAAGTGTCAGAGAAACGCATGTTAAACATAATCAGGTATCCGCTTGACGCATTTAAAATATTCTACATTTTGTTAGCATCTTCATCTAGTAAGAAAATATTATCTGCATACTCCTAATGGTTTATTAACATTCTTATCTAACGTCTTGCATAAAAGATGAATAAATTTCTAAGCCAACAACTATATTTTTAGAAATGATCTTCAAGAAATTATTCCAGCTTGAGGTACCCATTTCTTCTACCGACATATTTCTTTCAATTTTTGAACAAGTTTATAAGGCTGACTGACTGACACAATACTGAACAATGAATAACTCGGCTTCGAGAAAAAAAAAACTACTTCCAGAAATCACTCGTGTTACAATACTTTGGAATACCATCAGATTTTTAAGCATTTGAGATAGATGAGAGAAAATATGAGGGAAGATGATAGATGGGAGCGTAAAAAAAGGAAGAAAACCAGACAAGACAAAGTAGCAGTAAATTGCATTCACGACAGGTTGACAGGATCATATGGTCTGCTTACAACAACTTAAAATCTCTTGAAGATCATTTTGTATTGATTGGTCACGGAAGTGCAACCAATTTCATATTGTCTAATCCTGGGTGCAGACCGAATTCTATCGATCATATTTGCAATGTGGTAAACAAGCTAGGAAGCTCAGCATCGCAGTGCACATTAGTAGATGTTGGTTGGTTGGAGGCAATCGGCAGGAAACCCTGCTTGACGTAGGTTTTGTGCTTTCTGGCACTCGTCAGCAAGGCGTATCTGCAACCTCGATGGGAGTGATGTCCTGCCTGAGATTCAAACCCGCGTCACCCAGTATTATAGTCAGCGACTTTACCAGGTGGGACATCAGTTCCGTCGAGGTTGCAGATACACCTTGCTGTTGAGTGCCAATAAGCACGAAACCTAGGTCAGGCAGGGCTTCCTGCCGATTACCTCCAACAAACTAGGATCATTTTATCCACCAGTAGAACTGCAAACACCTGAATTGACTCAAGTTTCCCCTACAGATGGATCGAAAAAAAAACTCATATCAAAGCAGACAAAGTTATGTGACAGAATAAACTACAGTTCAAATATTTAAGCTTCAGAAGGCTTCGAAGACTGAATACATCTGTTTTATTGTGACTGATTTTCAGCTAGCTCATCAAGAGTACTCAACTAATGATTCCTTTCGTCACAAAGACCCCAAATATGTATTTGACATCTCTCTGAGCGACTTATACTCAACTGATGTCACGTCTTGGTCTGACCAGCCTGAACCATCTCTGATCTTAATCCAACTTCCCTTAGCATGCAGTGGCTCGGTATGTGCCAATCGACTTACCGATCTGTTTTGCCTATTACCTTTTGTCTAACTTCAACCAATAATTAGACTGACATCAAAAGGTTAGTTGAAGTCTGATTATACATTACTAACTGAAAAGTAGTCTTGATATAGTAAATCACTTATCGTCTATCTATTCTTAGGCCCTTAGTTACAACAATTCCTGAAGGCAAAAATTTTTTCACTAACTAATTTCTCACAAAAATATGAACACTAGTTGAATAAAATAAAAGAAGTTTTATCTTAGAGTGAACAATTAAATTTCACTTACCAAATCACTAACCATAGGAATTGCTTTCTTACCCCATGGTTGTTGTTCTGGTTGACTTTCAATTGATCGATAAAAACTGAAATAGAAAATAAGAGAAAAATAACTTGGAATTTTTCATCAGAATGTACCATCATCAGCCTAGTAACGTGTAGATCAATGAAATTTATGTTTGCTGGTTAGAGGAACAATATACAGTGTATTTCAATCCTACAGCTGAGTATAAGCTGAATTTGGAAACTTAGGAGCATTGAACAGCTGGGACTTCTCATCAGTGCGCACCCATGACCCCACCCTGCCCCACCAGGTATCGAACCCATGACCTTCAGGTTGCGTGGCCAACAACACGTTACTGTTAAGCCACTATGTCGGATTCCAACTTGTCAGTTCACAACATAGTATGATCATCATCTATTGTTGTCGTTGAGTATTTTCTTCACAGTCACGAAGTTTGCTCATATAAGCTTATTTCAAGCTCATTTAATCCACTAATCCAACTGTCAGTTGGTGCACACTTTTCACCTATTTCACTTTCAAATTCTTGACTGTTTCAGTGAAAATCAGTTAATGAATGTACGAAGTATCAGTTAGATACTACAACTTATCATCCCATGAGATACACTAGTGAACAACTCGACCATCTAGAAACTATTCAAACTGATGTATAAATTTCACTAGTTAGATTAGAATGGTCTGAATATCAGATAGCTAGTTCTCTCTCGTTTAGGACTGAGTCACCCCATCAACAATGTACCCTAGACAAATTCAATTCTCAAAGCCAAATTAGTTCATATCATCTGAATTTTGTGAGTTTATGACACACCTTTGTAACAAAAATCAGACACATACTATGATCTTGGTTGATCTAGTGGAATGGTGGTTTCCAATAGGAATCTAGTTTAAAAACAATCTATTCATCTGTGAGAAATTTTCAACAGACGACTATGGAATTCAAAAAATCAGCTATAGACATGAAAAATAAAATCAGAAGGAAATTTATAACTTCATTTAAACTGTTCAACAGGTTCCTTTGAATTATTTAATATGATACAACTACCGTTGAGGATATTTTCAGTTAACTTTCAGTGTTAAAATGCAACCTGAATGATGCTATATTCAGAGATTAGGAACATCAATATTCACTTTGAAGATTTGAAGGGATTTATTGTCTTCAAATTAGCATTCATCACAGACTGATATCAGCTGGACATTTCTCGAAATTCTAATGAGAAATAGTGACCAGTGGAGCAGTGGCTCAGTGACAAGGTGGTTGACATGGTGCCAAAAGGTATTGAGTTCAACCCATAGTGGGGCAACCTCATGGATTTTCACTTCCAGAAGACGAAACAGCAGTCCAGAGCCCCAATATTCTGTATCTAATGTCAGTCCGTGATGAATACCAACTTGAAATACTGATATTATTGAGTGAATAAGTAAAATTAATAAAAATATGTCTAACTTGGAACTACAACAGCATCGTCAAAAAAGGAAGATGGTAGGCTGAAACAGAGAAGCATTAACGATGCGAAGTGGTTAGCATTAAAACCCAGAAGGCCCACTTAGTCTTATTTGGGACTTCCATTAAGATGTGAACCCGACACGAAATGCTCTAAACTCGCAAGAGTTATTCTCTAGGCCAATGATTCACGACAGTTGTTCCTTGTTCCATCAACTTGTGAATCTCCGCTGAATTAATCGACCAATAGTGATATATGGGCTCCTGTGCAGATAACTCCGACAATTACCAGTAATTTTAGTTTTGAAATGAATGATGGATAGTGGTTATCTTTGGAAACAAGTACATTCAGACGATGAGAGTCGTACAGGCTGAAAATCACGCCATAGATTCCACTACTAGCCTCACTGGATATCATTATTATGAAGCATAAAAATCTCGGTAATATCGAGGCATCCGCACACGAGTTCATATGCTAGTTTTGAGCAATCCATTCGGTCCACTCAATGATGCCAACTTACAAGCTATAACGTGATGATAGAGAAGGAATCCTATAATTAGGAAATCATGTTACTAGGTTAACAAAAGCCTGACAACCATTTCATTTCATCAGCAGATAAATGCGCTTCATATACCCAATAATTATGGACATGGTGTTGCTGCAGAAAATGCAATCAAATTGATTATCTTAAACGGTAAGATCATGATGATTTGCATTTCTGTGCTTCAAGCTATCTGTGAAAGACCTGATGTCAAATTAAGCTATATATCTGATATTCACACCTACAGAGACAGAATCAATGCAGAACTCCAGCATATAAGTTTGTTTTAATATTCAAGCTTTACGAGATGTCATAGAGTGAATACATTTGCACCATTCTGACTGATTTCCAGTAGGCTAATCATCACAAAGACCTCAACCACACATTCTAAATCTACCTACACGACTCATACCAATAGTCAGTGACTTCATCGACTGGTGTCATGTTTTGGTCTAGTCACCGTGATCCCTCTCCTATCCATATCCAACTTCTCCTACCATGGCACATGGAGCTGAGCGGTAGCTGACCCAGTGGCTAGCTCAGTGGTAACGCGCTGGCCACGGAACCTGAAGGTCGCCGGTTCGATCCCTGGTGGTGCGGGGTCGTGAGTTCTCACTTCTGAGGAGTCCCATGCTGGGACGAGACAGCTGTCCAGTGCTCTCAGGTTTCCTTTGTTCTTTCAATTGATGTCAGTACACGATGAATAACAACTTGAGATAATCAGTATCTTAAATATTTCAAATAATGCTTCACTATTAAGTATTCTAAATTCCATGAAAATTAGATTAATCAACCGGTGGAAATCCATATTCAACTATCCAATCACATTTTAAGCGAAATAGAATAATAAGAAAAGTACAATTTGAAGACTTATGAGAAATTTACGGAGTTCAATCACATTCGTTTATATTCACAAGAAGTTAATGAACAGAATTTCATTGAGACAGACTATTTTTATTACTAGATAGATACCTACATCATGAGATATTACCAGATGTTAGTAATTATAATTTACTATTGACAAGAATTTAGTTTTTTAAAGCATGATACTTCAGGATACTGATCGTTTTTACTTCAAAAATCATGATTGATAGTTGAAATTTATCTATTATATAAAGATGTTTAGAAGATAGCCAAGAAATGAACGGTGTCCTAAGTGTATACCCTTGAGAAGGATGAAACATCTAGCTATCCAATGCTCTCAGATTTTCAATCTTTCTCTAACTGATGTCAATTCATCATGAATACCAACCTATAATCAATAAATAAACCTCATTATTATTTATTATTATTTGTCCCTTGGGTTCCTAATGGAATATAGACATTCAGTAGCACGCCTCCATTCCACTCTCTTCTCTGCAATCTTTTCAACCTGGCTCCACGATAGCCCACAAGCTCTCATTTCTTCTTCACACCATCTCCTGCATATCACCCTCACCTCGGACGCCTAACTAGTCGTTTCCCTTAGTGAACTCGAGACGACTTGATGGAAGTAAAAAAATTTGAGCCATTGGACTCCGACTAGGTGACTGAATGATCAGTGTGTTTATCAAAAGGTATGAATGTCCTAAGTTTCATCTCTGAGGGAGAAGAGTCGTAGATGCATACTGCTGAGGAGAACGTAACAGCCATCCAGTCTTCTCAGGTTTTCAATAGTTCCCCCAATTGATGTCAGTTTGTGATGAATACAATCTCAATAAATTTTAAACTACATAAGCTTTATTTATTTAATATCTTTTTACCTGAAGAAAATTGATCTCACTCCAGTTCAGCATGATTGATTGATATAGTGAAACCTTTTACTCCTACAAACCACAGCATTTTTTCCAAGAATTATTTTCCTTAAATTACCTTGTATACAATAAACAGGAATTCGATACACATATCTGTTGGTTGAAGTCAACCATAGGAACATTACTATAGTGATCAGTGTCACATCATTAGATAGATCTTATTTAGGTTACCTGATATTATCCACATAAGGAGAGTACTTCAATGACGACATTTCATGAAGGTTATGTTATATCATCAACTGAGAGAAGTAGGAAATACAGACGATTAGATTCCAACCCAGTGGCTAAATGGTAACGTGCTAATGGCCACGAGACCCTAAAGTCCTGGGTGCGATCCTTGGTGGAGTGTGGAGATCATAGGTGCCCACTGCTGAGGAGTCTCATACTAAGACAAGACAGCTGTCCAGTGTTCCTAGGTTTCTAATTTCCCGCTAACCAATGTCAGTCCATGATGAATACTAACTGTAAGTGGTTCGATTGGAAAAGAATCCATTCACAGCTTAGTAACAGCACCTTGGAACTATTATTACAAGAGAGACTAAAAGATGCTCTGCATTCAAAATTATGACCGGAACAGGCTGGATTCAGGAAGAATAAATCATGTACGGATCAAATTACAACGCTACGCTAAGCAACATCATAGGACAGGGCATAAAATGGCAATCAACTCAACCTCAACTTCATCGATTTTGAAAAGGCCTTCGATAGCGTCAACCTAGAAGTAATTTGGTAGCTGCTTCAACACTACCCTTTCAGAGCCACAAACCCTTATCAACCTCATTCAACAGCAGCTACATGCCGTATGATGTGTGACATGATAAGTGGTTCACAATGGAAAGCTCAGTTATGCCTCTAAAGTGAAGTGAAGACAGGAAGGAGTAAGACAAGACAAGGTTGAATGTTGTCACCAATAATCTTCCTGATTGTGGTCGACTGAATCATCTAAGAAACTGTGAGGAGCGAGAAGATGGGCATACGCTGTTCGACCGATGAAAACACCATAGAACATTTGGATTTCACCGATGATCATTTATGTCTAGTGTCTTATGTCACACAACCTCGAGGATGTACAGGCGAAAACTAACAAGTTGGCAAAACAGGTGAGGTGAGGCGAGGCGAAGACGGCACTTCCTTCAAGTGAACATAGAGAAGACATAGGTGATGAAGATACCCGACCAACAACAATAACAAGCAACAATCACTAATCACCATGAACGGGAGAACTCTAAAATAAGTTGTCTCTTTCATCTACCTAGGCAGCATTGTCTCAACTACAGATGGGAGTGGC